CAAGTCGAAGTGAAGAAGATTGCCCGAAAGCCTAAGAAGAGTTGGAGCTGCAGCCGAAAGTCGATGAGAAGATAAAGTTGCAGGCCAGACAAGAAGAAGAGCTGCAGGCCAGACAGGCCGAAGAATTGCAGGCCAGACAAGAAGAAGAGCTGCAGGCCAGACAGGCCGAAGAATTTCAGGCCAGACAGGAAGAAGAGCTGCAGGCCAGACAAGCAGAAGAGTTGCAGGCCAGACAGGCAGTAAAGTTGCAGGCCAAACAAGCAGAACAGTTCAGCCCCGGACGGCAGCGAGAAGGGTCCACCTCAGACGGCAGAGAGAAGAGTTGCAGGCCAGACAGGCAGTAAAGTTGCAGGCCAAACAAGCAGATCAGATCACCTCAGACGACAGAGAGCTCAGTTCAGCCCCGAACGACAGAGAGCTCAGATCACCTCAGACGGCAGAGAGAAGAGTTGCAGGACGGAAGAAGAAGAAGTTACTTGCAGTTATGCATAGAAGAAGTTGAAATCAAACCAAGCCCAAGAACAGAAATTCGTCCAAACCAAATCGAAGTGAAGAAATACGTCCAACTCAAGCCGAAGTAAATAAGCTCGTCCAAACTCAAGCCGCAGAGAAGAATCAGCCGTGAACGACTGGTAGAGATTAGCGCCCAGTGTCGAAACTAAACCACACTCTGACATACAAATTTAATAAAGAGTAGGCAACTCGAAGTCTTTAAGTTGTATGATAGAAGCTTGGTGCCACAGTCCACAAAGCGGGTCGGGAAGTAAGAACAATTTTTATGTAACGAACATTAGATATAAAAGGTTGTTACCCTTTTTTTATCAGTAATTTTTGGCCTCGTGAGTTTTTCTTTTACTTGTGTTTTGCCACCCCCGTCGGAATCAACTTGCATACGGCCCCAATCCCTGTTTGATCCCGTCTGTCTAAGATCTAATCACAACGTGGGTAGGCAGACCGGAGATCAGTACAGTTACCCTAGTAACCAGGTGTTGGAGGCGAGTTGGGAAAGGCGAGGCTGGTAATCATCTAACCAAGGGGTTGGAACGTCACACTTGGAACAGCGAGGAGCAACCAGGAGGAGCGACGTCACAGTTGGCGCCGTGACCAAAGGATTCGACCCTGGACCAAGTGACGTCACACAGAGAAATCATGACGTGACTGTAAGAAAAATATCAGTTTATTCCGTTTCCAACACATTCACTATAAATATTTGAATCTTGTAAAAGATCAGTGAGATGTTTGTTAGTTACCCACAGATATTCTTATTTTCATGAAAATGCAATTATCGATTCTTGCCCAAATGGTGTTTTTTTTTTTTTGGATTTTATACAATATCTCCTTTCTGAAAATAAATACTACCTTCTCAAACCAACATACCTGGTGATATAAAAATTTAAAAGCAAAAGAAAACACTTAAGGACTTTAGATATTTAAAATAAATTAATACGTAATTAATTAAAAAAAAATACTTAAAAATAAATAATAATTACATTAAAAAATAAAATAAAAATTCAATAACAACATTTACTCACTTTCGTTTATTAGGTAATAAATTACATCATTTAGCGTCTTCCATAGTTTACCTTTCCTAGCACAGCAAGCTTAAAGAATATTACTTCGCATTCTCTAATTCAAAATTTGAATGCTTAATATTTTTCCACTTTACTTCTGTATATAGATACAAGATACAAAATAAAATCTCCACATTTACTTTGATAAAGTTCCTCAAGGAACAAAACGCATTGTTAAAGCTCTTGCCTTTTATTTATGTTCTCTTTACAAATATATATGTATATATATTTATATGTGAATTTTTGCAAACCTCCTCATACACACAGCCGCACACACACGCGCGCGCGCGCACACACACACACACACGCGCGCATACACACACATATATATATATATATATGTATATATATATAAACTAACAGTTAGAAAAACAAATAAAGATAATCAATCCAAATAAATACATGAAGTAATAAAAAAAAACTAAAAACTGTTCCTGCCAAAATAATAATTAGAAGAAACTACAACAATCAACCCTAAAATTGAATAAATAGCTGTAATTATCTTCTCAAACCAAAACAAAACTCTTAAATAAGTGATATAAACAATTTTTTTACTACGTTAATAAAAACACCGATTAAAATAAAAATAAAAAATATATATATAAGATGAGAAATAAAAATAAAAAAAATAAAAATAAAAAATAAAAATAAATAAAAACAAGTAAAATAATTTAACCCAAATAAATAAATAAACAAATGAACGACTTCCGGTAAAATAGCCGCCAAAATAGACTACCCACAATGCACCACTGTCCCGTATATATAAACAGCCGAGAAAAATAACAGAACTCGTGGCCTGATGATTGCATTTAGCATGAAACAGACTGTCACCTCTAAGTGTTCACTTTTATATATATATATATATATATATATATATATATATATATATATATATATATATATATATATTTGATTGATGTGAGTTTGTGACCCTGGGCATATATATATATATATATATATATACACACACACACTTTTCACACACACACACACATATATATATATATATATATATATATATATATATATATATATATATATATATATATATAAATGAATTAACTTTAAAATCTATTTTGTCCACTATTATTTTAGCTTAATATCGTTCATTGACATTTTTCTCTATTTATTATACGTAACAAATTAGATGCTCCAAACAAAATAGTTAGTATGTGTTTAACTTTTAAACAGAAATAAATATCTTGAAATTAAATAGCAAAATTACGTCATGGTGCTGCAATAATTATGATAATTATACATTTAATATATTTAAATTGTTTTGATCATATTGCTTGTAAAGCAATTTGTTTCCTTCTTGACTGCAAAACTTTTATTATTTCTTCAAACCCAAACGGCTGCTTTCCGATCTGAGTCGAAAAGACAATCTCCTTGCATTGGTTGCCTTCATTTGTGACCTCTAATGACCTCTAATGACAAGAATTCAAAATATAACATCCAATCCCATCAAGTCTTTCATCATACAAGCTGGGGATTTAATGTTCAAGCCACAAAGTCTTACCGACGCCATATAGCTAGCATGGAATGTGCTTTGGAGACAAACGACTTTAATGGATACTTGTAGCTTTCTCTTAAAGAAACATTTCTAGTCAATGTTGTCAAGACTTTCCTGGTCGAATCTAAAATTCTAAGAAGCAGTTTTGTAGAAGTATTCTTCGGGCGCTACTTGGATATTCATAAAGCAAATCCGTTTCTTTCTTCCGAAAACTGTTTGCTTGGACAGAGATGCAAACTGAACGTTGTTCCAGAGAGTGGAAGATTATATTTGAATATATAACTGCGTATTTTCTTTCTTGAACGTTTTGGAAAACAGCTACAAACAAAAGAAGAATGATGTGAAAACGAAAAGAATTAAAAGAGAATTATAGAATTCCCTGGAGAAAAACATTAAGTAATAATGTAATTCAACCCTCACTGAGAATCTCACACATCTATCCTTGTACCAGACTTAGTTAAGCGCAGTGGTATAAATGGTTTTGAAAAGATCTCTGTTCGTGCAGTAAAATTCGAGTGCTGATTTGTAAGGTTATCAAATTTCCAGATTTGAAAAATTTGGCGGAACATCATTTTCTAATTTCTCTATTTATAATTAAAACAAACTAATTTCATTTTCATAAAGAACAAGAGAGAAAAAGTCGATAAACTTTGCGATAGGATTTCAATAAATGCTTTATTTACTTATCAAAATTTCATAAAAATATTTTCAAATGTAATACAAGACACTAATAGCGAATGGAGTATAGTTAAATGGGGTTCTATTATTTCCATTAATGGGATCAGATACTTATGCGAGCCAAGTTAGTCTTCGGGATATGGCCGCAGCTATTTATTATCCAGGCATAACTGGAGCTCCATCTTATATCGGCCCCGTGCATAGTCGGGAATTGCGTATTCTGGAACTCTATTCTTTCGGGCTATAGGTGGTTGTCCATTCGTCCACTTACATACTTTTTACGACGATCAAAACTCTGCGCTAAAGCCGTGTTTATTGATGGAAATAGTAACACACTGAGACATGCTTCGTTCAAAAAAAGCGCACTTCTCCCGATCGGTTTATGTGCACTCCTTCCAGTCACTCTGAATGCGTCAATCCCAAGAAGACCGAATCCAAGTAGTGGTTTGTCCACAATTAGGGCACAATTAAGGCATCAATGCGCACGGGTTGAGCATGACAAAGCTTCAGCGTAATACTGTGTTGTGGACTTATTTCGCAGTAGAGGCTTGTATTTGTACTAAATCGGTCCTAAATAGTTCGACGTACAAAACGTTAGGAACTTGATATAATAGGTATTACGCAGAGTAATCTTGTTGTGGTCGCTGACTACTTTCGTATTCAACTAACTGTCGTCTGACATCGACTCTATTTAGTAACTGCCCCACGCACGTGGCACAAGGCCGAATTTAATGTGGGGTTCCCGAGCCAGTAGGCCCGGCCCAAAAATCCCCGTAGACCCCGCATAAACGGGATCGAGTCTGTCTACCTCCCCGGACGAAACTAGCATCGTCCGGGTTCCTCTCTGCCCGAAGGCAGAGAGTTCGACTGTCGTCCGGCATCGACGAACCCTTGTTTCTCTTACTACTCCTACTTATATTAGGTGGGAGAGTATATTAACTATAGAATAGGTGTGTTTCACCATAGCATACTGCCATGTCCACGGCATATTAGGGCCTTATCGTCGGCCGTTAGGACTTTCGTCTCCATTGGTCGCCAATGGTGGCATGAGCATTTGCCCACCAGTATCCGCGATCAGCCAGAGTCAACCATGGCCGTACACTTCTTTCCATCTACAGACACCTCGATAATAGGCAGCACCTTGTTCTTTATTTGCTTGGGAAGAAAACTGGTACTGACATCTGATCCCCGGAGCCGTTTTCCCTGGCATTGTGATGAGATGTGCCCGACCCTGTTACAGCGAAAACACTGCATCTCGTGGCGTGATCTTCGGGACCGGGTGGTCGTCCTCTCTAAATAGCCTTGGTTGTAATCCTTGACCAAGTGGTTGACACGTGGGCACTTAAAAGAAACGATGCCGCCCTTTCGTGGGGCAGTGTCATTATGCGTTTGTCGAGCGGATGCAGCGAACGACTCATCGGGCACCTTACTAGCAGTCATAACAGCCCGAGCCTGGTCCAAAGTCACGGTGTGCATTTTGAATGATGACCGGAGATGTTGACTTGTTGTGGCACTCCAGAAACGAATGCGCACATCATTCATCGCACGGTGCAAAAGTATAATCAACAAAAAGGAAACAAACTTTGTCAAAAACAGAAATACAATCTTAACAGAAAAATTGTTGAATAAAGATTCTAGTGGCGTAAGTAGAACAACTGATTTATAATTAATAAGATGGGGCAATTCCTACTTAGAAATTTGTATATTATGATTATTTCAGATCTTTGATTGGCCAAATAGATTTGCACGGCCTTTTTTCAGCTTCTATTTCCTTAAAGCCGTGTATCTTCTTTAGACGGTACATACGAAAATGCAACCGGGTACTCCGACGTAGTGTAATGGTTAGAAAGCTTGTCTTGCTAGATCAATTAAGACTGAACAGCGAGTTGAATCCTCATTGGGTGCCCCATATTTTTGGCCTTGTGCCACATCTAAACTACTCTTAGAAAATCACTGTGGGCACTCGACGTGGTGCAATGGCTAGCAAGCTGGTCTCACTAGATCAAGTACAACTGAATAGTAAGTTCGATCCTCACTGCGTGCTCCATACTTTTGCCCTTGTGCCACATCTATGCCAAGCTTAGTAAAATCGCCATACGAAAAGGCAATGCGTCATCCGAGCCCATTTTTACAAATGGGGCAAAGCGAATTCTCTACATTTTAATATTTCAGTTTATTTAAAAAATTCACTCTATATTTCATCTTCACCTTTAACCTCGAATTTGACCTTTATCCAAACTTTAATCAAGTAATAAGACAAATGTAGACATAATCTTCTTTTTGTGCAACCTTTTCCCTTTATTTTACCAAAAGAGATTTAAAAAAAAACAACTTTCCTATTCGTATTCAATCTCCTTTCTATATTTACTTCTCTCTTCTATTAATAAATCACTCGAATCTCTACTTCTGTTCGCCAAACATTCTCTTTTTTGAAAAGAGAAAAATGCAAAGCGCTCTGTTTTTAGGAAAAGCTTAAAATGCTAGAGAAATATTTTCAGCTTGTCTGGACGATATTCTGAAGTTACAGTTAATCAGATGACAATATTGACTACGAAGCAAATATGGCGTGGGATAGCATTAGATAGTAGAATTTATTGAAGTAAAAATAAAAGTTATAACGATAATTCATTGAAGATAATTCAGATAAATATGACGAGAAAAGACTGTGTAGATATTTTAATGAAGAACTAGACAGAACAAGATTGAGGAAGATAGGAAGGAAGGAGGAACGTTCATTAACAATTTATCCTGACTGATTCTCAGTAAATGGAGAGAAATATATAAGTTGGCACGCATCGATTAAATCCTTTCCGGCATCGTTTCCATCTAGAGTTGTACACTTCTCAGCTCGTTTGGTGCAATTGGAAAGAACTTTCTTGAAGAACTCTGCAGGTTTGGATTGAAGCCAGGACTGCACCTCATTAATCAGTGTACCGTTATCCTGGAAATGGCTGTTTTTCAAATATAACTTCATTGTGAGGATGTGGTGGAAACCAAATGGCGCCAGGTAAGCAGAATCTGGAAATGAGGAAGAATTTCACCGCCACAGGAGCGGGTATCCATTTGATAGACATAGAAGTTGAGTACTCGTGGACGGTTGGATGACGTTGTTACACGTATCACACCTCTGGGATATTAATGGATTTCCGAAATTTCAATAGTAATCAAACTTAAATTACGTGAACTTTTGTCGAAGAATCAATATGTGCCTTTTCGTTCAATACTTTCCATTGGTTGGATTGTGTGCTTTAGTTTCTGCATCAAAGTGATTAACTCACGTTTCTGTGTAATTAATCAGGGGGGATTTCTGTTGTTGACACAAGGCCAATGTTTGATATCCACCATTGGCTCAGGTTTTGTTCTGAGACAGTATAAACAAACGGAGTATCCACCATGTAATTTCTGCCTATTCAGTTGTTCGAGGATGATTTTTTTTTTGTTTTTACACTGCACTCATCTCCTCAATATTTGTTTTGTGCTGCATTTTGAAGACAGAAACTGGATTCCATTAATATACGCCACTCTAGTCATGGTTACTACTTAATGCATATTTGCATTTGAAACACAAAATCATTTAAAAGTGCTTCCCATGCCTGGAAGTATGTTTCGACACGTGCAATTTTATTTCCCTAAAATTACTGGAGTTTGGCCAGTACAAATCTTTAATTAACGACCTCAACGATAGATAGATAGATAGATAGATAGATAGATAGATAGATAGATAGATAGATAGATAGATATAAATACATTCTGATTGATAAGTAGACTTAGATAGATATAGCAAGAAAAATGTAATCAGACCAAAAGATGAAAAAATCGAAATATACTTATCAGGTGAGGGAGGCATTGGGGTGGGGGGCTTGCATTTGCAAGCATAAATGATACGTAATTAATTTTCATGTATCTGATTTTATGTCAAAATTGGTCGAAAAATATTTGATAATTGAACGTTATTTCCAGCTGGATTTTCTATAAGTCTTATTTTATCCATTATTTTATTTTATTTCATCCATTATATTTACGTAACTCCAAATAAAAACAATGGCCAAGGTTTAAAATGAATTTTAAAACATGAAAAATCTTTCTTGAAGTTTTCAGTTTCAAGCTAATAGATTACATTTAACATTTCCAATACACAAACTACTGTATTTAAAAATGAATTTCAATTGATTGGAATGAGTTTTTTTAACCAATCAAAATGGTTGATTTTAGCCAAGTTTACAATTCTTCCAACGCAAGATAATACTTTTTGTTGAAAAAAATCTTTTGAAAATAAAATATACCTTTCCTAAACTTTACTTCGGGAAGTTTGGCTGATTTGAAGTCTAATTAATCTGATTTGAAACAAATATTTCTTACTTTTAGTTTAAAATATCGCAGAAAACCATTTTTAGTACGTAGGTGTTTTTTTTTTAATAAGCTGTTGATAATTTTTGAGAAATTTAACAAATTTTTACGGGTCATATCCGTAAAAATTACTTAACGTATATAACTTGAGTGCTTTTTTATATAATTGTTTAATTACCTAATCATCTTAAAAATTTAGGAAAATATTCTAAATAATCTAATGCCGTATTGAATTTTACGTACTTTGTCTTTCTATAGTTACGACTTTTATTTTCTGATAATGTTACGTCTGAACGTCCGTATTTACAAAATTCGGCACGTTTATACACACACAAAAAAAAACATCAAAATTCTTTTTAAAATACAAGAGTTCGCTAAATTGTAGTAAGCTTTTCCATTTATGATTATTAAATATAGTTTTTACTTAATAGCAATATCACCTAACCGGTACTAATTAATACAAAATGTTAATAGTTTATAACTTTATAAATTATTATAATTAACATTTTAAAGAAATAAAAACAATACGATTCATTATACATTGAAATTTTTTTCTTAAGACGATATTGTCAATAATATATTATATTCGTAAAAGCAATTGAAAGTTTTTCTAATTTAATAATGTTTTAGTTTTATTGAATTTTTAATTTTACGATTCAGAGCAGATTTTCCGTAACTGTGGATCCTGTTTTACAAAATAAATAAATAATGATGAGAATTCTCCAACGACTTCTGCAAATATAAACTAATATAAAAATAATCTAATCTAATATAAGCATTAAGCCCTTCAAAAATGAATTTTTTTGAAATTTAATAAAAAAAATTAAGTGTCGGGGGGGGGATAACAGATGAAAAATATTTTACCAAATCTTTCTAAAAAAAGTAAAGTTTCTGTAATAATTTATTTCATTTGTGAATAAGAATGTGTCAATAAACTCTGATAATTATTTTTTGAAATTTCTAAAAGGATTAAAAATATATAATTTAATTAAAAGCTCCTTTATAAAGACTTTGAAGATAAAAATTTGCTTTTATTAAGTTTGGGGCATTTCGTCATGTTGCTCATTTTAGCGAATATTTGAAGGTCTTTTTTCTTTTTAGGGGCCATGTCCTTTCAGGACGTCGGTGACCATGGCTCTCCACCTCCCTCTATCCCTTGAAGCTCTCAACAAGCTCCTTCCCTCTGCTTCCTCCCCCAGACCACGTTCTGTCATCCACCTGCTCAAGCTCGTCAGGTATGTCACGGGCTGCTTTCCTTTGTCTCTCTTTCCCTCTATTCGACCCGTGAGTATCAGATTCTCCAAGCCCGTCTTCCTCATTATGTGTCCCAGAAACCTCAGCTGCTTCTTTCTGATGTTAAGTATAATCCTTCTCTTTGTTTGTAACCTCTCTAAGACCTCATATTGCTCAGTTCATGATATCCTCAGCATCCTTCTGTAGAACCACATCTCTGTCCGCTCGAGTCTATTTTTCATCGTTGAGGAAATCGTCCAACATTCGCTGCCGTAAAGGACAGATATCACGTAACAGCTCGGTATTCTTTTCTTTGTTACCAAAGAAATCCTCCTGTCTCGAAATACTCTGGTCAACATTTAGAATGTGTCCTTGGCCATCTCAATACGTCAACGGATTACAGTGTCGCACTTATCGTCCTCTGTCAAGAGGCTGCCAAGATATCTAAACTTCCGTGTCTGCTTGATTCTAGTGTTCCCGACCTGCAAATCGCATTTCAGGCTCTTCGTTTAACTGATGACCATAAATTCTGTCTTCTTACAGTTTATGCTCAGTCCTTTCTTCTCATTCTCCGTCTCTACCTTCTGTAGGAGATTTTGTAATTCCTTTTCCGTGTCTGCTATCAGTAATGTGTCATCTGCATATCTTATGTTGTTAAGATTTTGGCCACCAATTCTAACTCCCAGTAGGGTTTTCTAATTCTCTCAGAATTGCCTTGCTGTATAGTTTGAACAGGTCAGGTGAGAAGACGCGTCCTTGCCTTACGCCCCTTTCTATTTTTGTATACTCACTGAACTCGTACCCTATGTGCATCCATGCTGTTTGCTGTCAGTATAGGTTCTTGATTATTCTGATATCTTTCCCGAATATATCAAGGTTGTTGAGCAGTTCCATTAGATCCTTGTGGCGTACTCTCACCTAATTATATTTCGTGTCAATTAGAAATTTGATAAAGGTTTAAT